TGATAGGATTGCTTTACTAAATACTATATTACCATTATTATTCTGATAACTGTCTCTGGTAAGTGAAATACAGTGCTGCCTGAAAATAGCCTGCCTAGTTTTCATCATACGTGGTAGTAAATGTACCTGTCAAATTAAAGCACATCGTGGCTTCATATACAAACAAGTGTCTACCCATGAGGCTCTACGTTTCAAGCCAATAAACTTTATTTTGTGTTTAGTGCTGAACACATGTGTTATATAAAGTATAACAGCAAATATTCTGTTGGTGACCAGAGAGGGAACAGTCATCGCGCCTTTACGAGGAGAAAGTGAAAACTCGATAGATTAGTCACGTTATTACACGTAATGTTAGATTTTAAGGACTATTGAGTCAAAAAGGCCCAAATGAAACAAAAAGCATACCTAAAAGCAATTTGATTATTTAAAATATTTTAAATAGTCCATTTTTATTTAACATCTTGACTACTTTATTGACATTGGCTGTTTACTCGTATTCTATTCATTTGGTTCTTGAGCTAACTTAAGCTAACTGATAACAGACGCTCAAAACGTGCAAAGAATTATTATGATCTTGTGTCCTATAAGCACTATTCCGTGATAGCGAACGATGATAACGTGTCGCCAAACTGGCATACACGCTCCTTACTCCCCTTTTCAAAAAGAATAACATTTGACCGATATTCACCTTATATTGCGAACCGACACGGGCAATATTTTCTGTGTCGACTATTCGCATGTGAACTTGTACTTCATAAACATATGGTCGTTGATATCATTTCATATGTACGAATTCTAGAATATAGTTCATATCATAGCCTCGGTGTTCATTTCATTTCACGGGTTTCACTGACATTTATCTCTTTGATAGAAACTCACTGTATCTTAGCGAGGTCACGATTGAGTGATGCGTGTTTAAAGGCGACTGTAACTCTCGAGCAATGTAAAACGCGGGTCAGCGTTTCATTCGTTTATACTAGGTAGTTTAATTTTATAGGTGTTTTTGTGAGATTGATACGATCCTATTGCGCCACACGCGTGGCACATTCGTCACGTGACATAGGCCAGGGAGCGCCGTGTCGTACACACCCTACCAATGAAAGTTACGCACACCAAATAAAATAAACAATGCAACATTAAGTGACTATTATTTTAACATGCCTCAAACGCTGACAAACCATGTTGTGTACTGAAATTGTAATTATCGCTGACACGTATAAACCTGTTCATGTGGGACACTCATTGTAAATAATCTTGTTCTCAAGCGTTTTCAATTTAACGACGAACATAAACATAATGAGAGAACCCTCATGATGTGCCGCGTTGTGGTCGTAGTTAGTGTGCAACTTACCTCGCCGAAGAGGAACTGCAGTTTTCTCACCGTCGACGTCGAGATAGGGTTCACCACTTTGAGTCTAGACGAGAGGTGACGACCCCTACATTCCTATTGAGTAACCCGATTAGTTGCCAGCACAACGCGGCCATACTTTGCATGTTTAGTACTATCCTGGGGTGGTTGCATTGTTCTTCTTTAGTGACTTTTCAATACAAAGCCTAGCACTGAGTGTTTTCATAATAAGAATGATACGGCCACATTACTAACTTAAGGGTACCTACCATTTCCGTATTTCTGCGGGGTTTTTTTCAAGAACATAAGCAATTGACTCGGAACATTCTTGTGGCATGATACATGTCTTGTCGAGACATACAAGTTTGAATTACCAGCCAACAGCGCCGATAGATAGAAACTACAGTCGTCAAACAACATGCAACGTATACAGCGTGTGTAAAATACAGTGTTTATATATCAATAATATATAACTCATCAATAACGGGGATTGCATTGTTTTATCATTGTTGCAATGTGTTTACCAATGCAATGGGTTTACCTTCACTGTCTTATTAATACTTGACTTCTGATAGTTTTGATAAACAATTGTATTTTATTCCATACATTAGCTATACGAGTAGTTATAATAATATCTACTCGATTCTCTATGTGTTAGTTTCATCTGAATGTTGTACCTTCACCTTGGGATCAGTTGCTACAAAACCTAATACGTTTTTTCCAGTCGAGATCCACAAAATTGTGTGGCAATTTGAGGAAGTACATAGTTCCAATCATTTCCTGTCATAGCGTTAATGGCAACTGCGCAAACGTTTTCTGTGATCCGAATCACAGTCATAACACTATTTAGTCGCTCGTCGTTGAACGGACGTGTATAAATTCCAGATTTATTTTTAATCCAAAAGAGCTAATCGTACTTGTGTAACAACATTTTAGTTGGCATGGGTATAGTGTTACAAGTTGAAATACACCAAATCGTCGAGTACGCTTTCAATTTGTCAATTTTCCTATTGTGCTCATTCCAATAGGTATTTGTTATCATTCTGATACTCGAATCTCCATAGAGAATTGCCAATCACAATTCTGAGTTGTACATTTTACATTTTTTTTCTTCATTAAAGATGGATAATATTTTACATTTCTTTGCATAAAATTGCATTCCCAACTTAACGCCCCATCTTATAGTGGCAGCTAGATATACAGTAGAGACAAGAAAAGTCCTAAAACGGAACCTTGCGGGATACCAGATATAGGCGGAAGCCAGTCGGAGGTAGAACTGTTCACTGAGGCTCATGGTCCCAAGCCTCATTAATTACGCACATGTCTAACTGTCAGTACGTAACGGCT